TCTCTCTCTCTCTCTCTCTCTCTCGTCTCTCGCTCTCTCTCTCTCTCTCTCTCTTTCTCTCTCTCTCTCTCTATCTCTCTCTCTTCTCTTCTCTTCGCTTCTCTTCTCTTCTCTCTCTCTCTCTCTCTCTCTCTCTCTCTCTCTTCTCTCTCTCTCTCTCTCTCTCTCTCTCTCTCTCTCCCTCTCTCTAGTCTCGGCTCGAGAGTGCCCTGCACTCAGACCGCAGCCGCGACGCGAAGCGCCCCGCCTCGGAGTCAGACTCCCAGGCCTCGCGAGACCGGAGGGGTCCCAGCAGGACCCTACTGATTCGCGTCACCTCTCTCCCCACCAGAGCGCCCGCCGCAATGGCCCCCGGTAAGCCGGAGCGCCGGCGCTCTTCCAAGCAGCCGCCGAGCTCACGTCCTGCTGCCGAAGGGTCTCTCCTCCAACGCAAGCAGGACTGCATCGCAGCTTTCAAGCAAGCGGGGTCCGACCGCCCCACGGCCGCATACAACGGGCTTGCCGAGCTGAACGCGGACGAGCTTCAGGCCACGTACGACATGCACAAGACCAACACAACGAAGCTCGGCAGTGCCTTGATCCGCATGTGTGCCGCCAACCAGATCAGCTACACGCTGGATCACCACCAGTGCAGCAAGCCTAAGCGCATTGGTGGTGACACATCACACCCACCAGCTGCGTCCGCACGTCTTCAGGCTGCGGACGCCCAATTCATTGCCTTGGACCCGGCCTTTTGGAAGGTCCCAGTCCTCGCCGAACCCACATCACTTGACGACGGCAAGACGTACAAGCCCAGTATCAGCCTCCACGACTACGAGAGCGGTGAACGGCTGCTGCAACACCACCTCGAGCAGGGTAAGCGTACCACGGGTCAGCTTGCGATTGCTGTCATGGCCCAAAAAACGATAACTACGTCGGTACCGAGCTCGCCGTCCCCGTGCTGAAGCGTCACCCCAAGGCGCCCAAAGTGGTCCACACGCACGTCCCCGTGACCGTGTACCAGCTGGGCACCAAGGAAGTCGCCTGCACGGAAAAGTAGCCGTCGCCACCATCGACCCTGCCGACCACGTATGCTGGATTCGGGTGACCATACATGAAACCGAGGCCATCGCCGCAGTCCCCTCCATGCATCAGGCCTTCGAGGGCCAGTTCTCGGGAGGTGCCCCCGTGAACGGTGGTCCACGCACCAAGGGCCCTTTTCGAGGGGACTCCGCTCCACAGGACAAGGCGCGCCAAAACCAAAAGCACAGGGAGTCCAAGAAAGACGCTCGCCGTCAGGAGCTCGATAGTCAGCTCCAGGACACCTTCAAGGCCCTCTTCCACGGCAACTTTAAAGCCGCCACCATCCTCGAACCCTGCAAAAGCCTAGGCAGGTATGGATCGGGCGTCGGAAAGAGGTCCCTGGCTGCCACCTTCGGCGTCAGTCTTCAAGCGGTTGACAAGGTCTTGGCGGGTTCAGGGCAACTCGGCGCCACCTACGACCTCAGCAACGTAGGTGCAGACGAGCCCACTGCAGACAAGTACCAGACCGTGTGGTTCCCTGAGGACCAGACCATCACGATGGCAGATGCGTTCCAGAAGTCGGTGGACTTCAAGGCCCTAGGAGTCGTCAGGCACGGCAAGTCAGGCTTATTGGGGATCCGTGTTGCACGAGGGTCAGACGCCGCCAAGGCTGCTGCCGTCAGCATCCGTGGCTGTGAAACCACCCTCGCCAAGACGCGATACCGCATCACTGGCATTGCGGCACGCCACGCCACGCTGACCCAGCTTGCTAAGACTCTCACGGGCCCGTCCGTCAAATGGGACTGTGAGGTCTACCACGCCGCCTGGGACCCAGCCACTTCGGCTCAGTTTGCCTTAGTGCGCGCCCATCGTCCCCCACCCACATATACGGTACAGGTCGCAGGGTGCCCCATCCCGCGGAGCATCACCGAGGCCC